TTTATCTTTCGAACTTTTGCGTTTTTCCTTTTTTACTTTCACCAACAATAAGTTTATATGGTGAATGATACATTATTGATTGATCCTCTTTAGGGATTTCTTTCAATCCATTAAAGATGAGCATGACAGAAAAACCACCCGAGAAAAGTAATGAAGAAAAATGTCGTCAAATGGAGCAAAAAGTAAATGAGCTCTTGAAAGAAAGTATTTTTGCATGGGAAAAAGGCGACATGAAACAGGTTATTACTATTATTACTATTGTTATTATTAGTATTATCATTGTTACTATCATTGTTATCATTATTATTATTTTATCATTATGTTGTTATCATTATTATTATTTTTATCATTGTTATTATTGTTATTATTACTTTATTATTATAATGTTTATTATTGTTTCATAATCATATAATCGCAATATTTAGCTAAATTGAACTAATTAAGTTGATCAGCATATCCACAAAGAAAAAATATTGATTGTTCTAATCAATCAATAATGCTTATTTGTAACCATTCAAACTTCTAGTTAATACATACCTTTCTATGTTTAGCTATCGCATGATAGCATAATTTTAATGAATAATAATGAATGCTTAATTAATTAGGCAGGAAAAGGAACATTTATGAAATTTTACAGGCACTTGAAAAAGCTAAAGAAGCAGGTCGACGTGAACGTACGATTGTGAAAATGCGTGAACAATTATCAATTGTAGAGCAACTCAATTTAGATCTTACATTTACAGTATTATTTAATTTAGCTCATCAGGTATGCATGCTAATTAAATTTAACTTTTTATTACATAAATATAATTTTTATTGTAAATAATTGTTTATTGATTTCGCAAGTTACATTTCTATTTTTCGACAATTTGAATATTTTAAATTTGAAAAATTAATGAAATGTTTTGAAAATGATAATTTGAAATAATTTTATAGTATATGGCGAATAATTTATTGACGGAGGCATTAAATACTTATCAAATGATTGTGAAAAACAAAATGTTTGCTAATTCTGGTCGTTTAAAAGCAAACATTGCTAATATTTACTTCAAACAGAAGGATTACAAAAAAGCTATCAAACTTTATCAAATTGCTTTGGATCAAATACCGAATTCACAAAAGAATACCAGGTAAAATAATTTGTCAAATTTACAATGAATTTAACTAAACTAAAACTGAAAGTGGGAGAGAGAGAGAAAAAAGGGAGAGAGAGAGAGAGAAATAATATCAATAAAGTTATGAAAGTTTTAATTGTTTAATTTTACCATTCTTGCAGTTTCTTTTTTTTTTCATAATTAAAATAATAGTTGCAATCTTTTTTTAGCAATAATCAATCATTGTAATAATTAAAAGAAGAATATTAATACCAAAAAAAAAAGTTGAATTTATTTAAACTAATCGTTAGCATAATTAACATAGTACTTTTTCTTTCTTTATTTAATTCAAATATTTATTTAAAAAAGTTTTTTCATTTATTCTATCATATAATTTTTCTCTTTTTTTTTTGATAAAGACGATAAAAAAGATTAAAAAAAAAAAGATAAAAAATAGGGAAAAGAGAGAAGGCGAAAAAATTCTTAATTTAAAAAAAAAAGAGAAGAAATGATCGAAATTTAAAAAATAATATTATTTTAGGATTAAAATAATGAATAATATTGGTGTTGCATTTATTAAATGTGGTGAATATGATGAAGCAGATAGTACATTTGAACATTGCATGAATGAAAAGGGTAATTATAATACAGCACTTAATTTTATTCTTACGGCATATTGTTTAAATGATATTGATAAAATGAAGGATGGATTTCAACGATTATTGGATATACCACTTTTGATTGATGATGAAACGAAATATATGGTTTGTTGGGGTTTTTTTTTTTCCTCATCTTTTATTTTTAACTGTTTTATTAATTAATTAATTTTACCACAAATAATAGATGGTAATTATCATCGTACTTTAAATCTGTAAATTATTAGCAATGAAGAATTTTATTTGAAATAATTAATTACTTTTATTAATAATAGATATCATCCAATAATTGATTATATTATCAGTAATTAATATGTATTTGATAACTGATTTGTTATTATCACTAAGAAATAATACTTTCAATTAGAACATTTCCAAAAATTGAGAATGTTTAAGCTTTCTAAACGATCATTAGTTAACAGCGATCATTCAATAAGTGATAATATTATCAATGATAATATTATCTGTTCACTGAACAATTTAAAAATATAACCAACCTTTTGGTATTTAACATGGTTAAGGATCGATTAACTATTAAATGATCTGTAAAATGTTATTGGCAAATATTTCCGGTTATATGGCTCCGTATTAATCCGGTTATATGGCTCCGTATTAATGATGTATAATATTTAATATGTGCAATAATTTGACAAAGTAACTTTCCTGACATCTAACTGTCTTAATTGGTTAGAATTAAAAAAAAAAGAAAAACAGGAAATGAATTTGGCTTACGCATAAAAACCGTCTAACCGGATTTTCTTTTCTTTTTTTGTTCTTTCAGGATCAGCATGATTACCTAATTTCACAAATGATTAGCAATGATTCATTAAAGCAGTGGGAACGTCAACGACGAAATGTTGCAGAAAAAACAATTTTCATTGCTACAAAAATTATTTCATCAGCCATTGCATCAACGT